TTGCACTAATTCCCAGAGACCTTCTGCAGAAAGAACAGCTGGATGGCTCAGAGGCTGATGGTTGGCTGTGGCTGACATAACAGGCCATACAGTAGTACTGAGAGGTGAGATCTTCGAGTGGTAACTGCCAGTCCACTGGCTGACTGAGGCCTTAATATTTACTGTTCGTTAAGAAACGGATCTTGGGAATTGAAGTTAGGGTATTCCCACATAAATGTTGGCCTGTGGTTTATGATGCAGTCAAAAGCTAAACTTGCTTTTGCATAACCAGTAAATCTGGGGGCAAATGGTCACAGGTGGTGTTCTGGTGGTCTGAGTAAATCAATACTGTGAGGAAATGGTGGGCTTCAGTATGAGTGTGTTGATGCAGACAGACTGTAGGCTGTTGGCCTAAAGGATGGCTACTGGTCTTCCTGAGTGAGTAAAGGAAAGAAGTTCCCATCTTTTTGTACACAGTGCAGTTGTATGGAAACCTGCTTGCAACAACTCGAGAGAAAGGACTTGAGTCTTGTGTCAGCTGCTCAGGAGTTCACACAGCAGCAGTTTGCTTGGCACCAAACATGCTTTGTGCCATTGCAGTCTTCCCCGCAGTAGCTGCTCAAAAACCACTGGTCCAAAAATAATTACTTCTAAAAAATTAAATGAAGCCATCTTTATGAGTAAGCTCAAGGGTTGCAAGGATTTTGTTTCCTGCCTTGGCTTTGCTTGGCACATTACAGCTTTGGGAAGCCATGATCATGTGTCATGGATATGGAGACCTTCACTGACTAGGCTGTTACAGAGATGGTGATTCCAAGTTCCAGGTGCTGTCAGTTCCTGCAAAGATGGCTCAGGTCTCTGGGGTAGCATTGCTCATTAAAAATCTGGTCGGAAACAAGGGTGAGAGTGCTTTGAAGCTCAGGGATGAGAAATAGCTGCAGAATAAATGGTCTGTTTGACATCACAGCATGATGACATAAAACATAGTGAAGAGCTGTACCTGAGCGCCGACAGCAGTGGAGGCTCTGGGCGCTGTGCAGGGGCTCATGCTCTGCACAGAAGTCACTTGAAGAGTGCACTGCCGAGTAAGTGCTCACTTGGAAATGCCATTGCTAAGGGCATGGCCCTCCACAAAAGAAACTGAGAAGTCTGTGGCTTGGCAGCTGTCAGAGCTGGGAAGATACAGCTTTCTGCTGCTTGGCACAGTGCTCACAGCTGCAGCGCGGAGCATTTCCAAGTACGGGTAGATGATACTCTGCTTTATAATGATTGCTCCAGAGAGGAGAGCACTGTGGCTTTTACAAATACTGTTCCTAAACATTGTCTTTTTGTAGCTAGCTGCTCTTCCTAAGATGTGTTGTTTGAAAACAGCCTTTGTAATTGTTATTATTTGACCACAGGTTGCACAGCCAATCATGGAGACTCAGTAGATGCAGGGATAGGTAGGACTGGCCTAACTGTTCCCTTGAGCATGGATTCATGGTGTTTTCAAAAGTCAACCTTATTTCTACTGTTTCTTACTCTCCGGCCTGGAAATTAGAAATGGAAAACAATTACTTACGCTGACGGACATTCTGTGCTCGCTCTCTGAGAACCAGATGAGGAGGAGTGTTTCGTAGAGATGTACCGATATGTATATATACATACATATTGTCAGGTATTTCATTTAGAGTTTTTAAAATAATACAAAGTATTTTTTTACTATTTCTCTTCTTTGTGTAAAGTTATGGATGACACGTACGTGCTTTGGGAAATCCAGTAAAATATTTTCCTTGCACTTTCAGGTTATTTCCTCTATCTTGTGTTTTCCGTACTCCCAGCTTTTCACTTCACCCCTTGCTTTTAGCTGTGTATTTTCCATGATTACCATAAAACATAAAGGCTGGTTTTGCTGGGTACAAGCTGGCGTTTTTAAGAGCAACCCTTGTTAATCCAGTAGAACAACGGGGGAGAAAACAGTAAAGGCCTGAGCAATAAACACCAGCAGGGAACCTGCCATATGCCTCATGTCAATTGGACTTAATGCTGTATCATTAAGAGTTGCCTAGTAGGTAATGGGAAATAGCCACAAAAAATGTCTGTAGTGCCCATTTTATTGGAATAGCAAAACCAAGAGTGGTGCTTGACCCTAGTGCACAACATACAAATTACCCTAAGAGCTTTTAACCAAAAGCTTAGTGCTAAAAAAAAATAATTACTAGTTTTGGAAAGCCTATTTAAGACCTGTGTAGTGCAGAGGCTGATGATAGGTGTGACTGCTTACTGTAACAATGCTGAAAGTCATCTCAAAAGGAGAAAATACAACATATCTCGAATTTTAGGTCTTTTGGGATGTTTGGATGTTACCAAGGAAAGAGTTGCTCATGACAAGGGACTTAATGACATGGGCCTTCACCTGCTGCTCAGCAGCCTGGGCAGTTAGCTGAGAAGGAATTAGTCTATAAATATGGACCGTATCCTCATGTGTGTTGAGGGCTGACCTAAATCTGCCTGCCCTTGAGATTGACAGGGCAGCTCTCACTGGCATTACTTGAACAGCCATTCTCAGATGTTCCAGATCAGACCCCTTTCAAAAATGGATTTACTTGTTTGATATTTGCCTGTGCACAGACACGTGCTTGTTCCCTGGCAGCCTGCCTCTCCCATCTCCCACCAAAGCTGCCTCCCCTCCAAGATGAGCATTATCCCCACCCAAGCTGCTGGGTTTGGGTGGTGGAGGCGAGTGCACTCACATTCCAGCAGACCCCAGCAGACTATCATCTGCCTCCTTTGTGCACCCTTGCTTAGAGTAACTATCTCCCTCAAAAGCCCCTGGGCTACACAATGGTCTCCCTGTCGTGGTGCCCACTTGTGCTTACCCTGTCTAGTCACAGCTCCCTGTGAGACATCTCCCTTCTGTGAGCAACAAAGCTGATGAAGGGCCTGGAGCACAGGTCTTCTGAGGCTGAGGGAACTGGGGTTGTTCAGTCTGGAGGAGGCTCAGAGGGAACGTTATTGCTGTCTGCAAGTACCTGAAAGGAGGATGGAGCCAGGAGCTGGCTGATCTCTTCACCCAAATAACAAGCAATAGGACAAGAGTTAATAGCCTCAAGCTGCGCCAGGGGAGGTTTAGATTGGATATTAGGAAAAATTTCTTCCCAGAGAGGGTGATCAGGCATTGGAACAGGCTGCCCAGGGAAGTGGTGGAATCACTGTCCCTGATAGTGTTCAGAATCCATGCAGACAAGGCCCTCAGTGACACTGTTTAGTGATGGCTTTGGCAGTCCTATGGTAATTGCTGGGCTTGATCTTAAAGGTCTTTCCCAACCTAGTTGATTCCATCATTCTCCACCCTGCTCATCTCTGCACCCAGTTTTAGTGGTTGCACCTGAGCTGCTGCGAGCAGAAAGGGAGAGTGCAGCCCTGTCTGTGAGGCTCTTTGCCTCACAGCTTTTTATTGCCGAAGTCAAGGGAAGAACAGCTCAACCAGCTGCAGCTTTGAAGCTGGCAGAGCCCCGCTCCCCAGTTTCCATCCCCTGCGCCATCCATCATGCTTATATGAAATTTCGTGGTATGCAAGAAGAAAAAGCTTTTGCTCTGAGCTAGAGCTACCAATGTGTCCTGGGGCCCGGGCAGGGTGTGTATCCTTGAGGCTAACCTGCAGCCTCCCTGTGCATCGCTTCAGCTTCCCCTGGAGCGGCGCTGTGTCTGCAGCTCTGTGTGCTCAGAGGAAGGGCATCTTCCTGGCTGGCTGAAAACAGGCTTGGATCTGTACCACAGGAACTGTAGTATTTGTACGCTGTAACCTGTGTAATCAGTCCTTCCAGTGCATATAATGGGTCAGCAAATGTTACTGAACACGGGCTCACCAGAGGGTGCTTCCTTGGAGAGAGCTGCCCTGATACCAAATACACGTCCAAGATGGGTGTGTATTTGAGGGAAGATGACTTTTAAAAACACCTTCTTGAGCTGGGATCTTCTAGGGCTGGTTCAGTCACTGCAAACAGACCCGAGTCAAGCAGGAGTAAAGAGAAACCAGAGATGTTTTATTGCTTGTCAGGGTTTCTCCCCGAGCTATTTTGGCAAAGGGGATGAACACTCGCTAGTAACTTCTTCAAGGTCTAATTACCTGTACAGGAGTAATAAGGGCTCTTTTGGGAAGCAGTAACACAGGTGAGCTCCTAAGGGCTCTCTCGCAAGCTTAGTCGGTGTGGTTGCATCTCCCTGCTCAGGACAGCAGCAGCCTGCAGGCAGCGCTGTTTAGTGCTTTACTGCGGTTCAGCAGCGAAGCGTGGCCTGGTTGCGCTTCTGTGGATGGGGTATGAATGCGGTTGGAAATGTAAAAGGGTAGCCCCGAGGAATCGTTGCCGGAGGAGACAGTTACGGGTGGGATATCTGCATGCACCACAGAAACGCGAATAGAAGGAAAGGAAGGGTGTATGCTTTTAAAGAGGAAGCTGAGTCAGCAGTAGGTGAGTGCTTACCCCCATTGCTTCCTCGGGTCCTTAGTGGGAAATGGTAAAGCAAGAGCCCACCCAAGCCAGAGGGTCACTGTGTGGGCAGTGGCTCTCCCTTCTCCCCCAGGACCCCCAGCAGACACACTTCGTCAGTGGAAATCTCCCTGTGACAGGCACCCATTAGTTTTGGTTTGAAAACCAGCTGCTGCATCTCGGCATTGCTAGAATGTAAATGAAATGAAGCCATACCCTGCACAGTTCAATGGGTGAAACCCTCATTTCTTAAGAACTCACACCCTATTCTGTTACGCTTCAGGCTGTAGAGTAACTCCAGCATTCCCCCCATCCCAGCCTTCTCTGTACCAGTGCTCCTACGACCTAGATGATGGGAAGGCCATTTGAGTGCCCCCTTCCTTCTCTGCTAGGCTGCTGCTTTCCAAGGCCCTCAGGAGAGTGTCGGGTTGTGATTCAGCTCACCCTGCTATGATGGGGGTCACATGCAGCAGGGATATATCCTATGGCCAGGAGTACCCTCCACTGGACCAGGTTGCTGAAGGCCTCATCCAGCCTGGCCTGACAATGTCTTCACTAAACCTATATCTGTGTCCCCTAATTGTTTACCTATGACCAAAAGAATTTACTAACCCCTTCTCTGTGCCAGGCCACCATTTCCTTTTCCAGCAGCATCAGTTTTGCCTACCCAATGCCTTACTTAAGCTCTGAGGTAGTTCTTGCCTTCAGGAACAGCTCCATCCTGTCCTTCATGATGCCACCAGCAGCACTGCTCAGATGCTGTACATTTGAGTCTTTCACCTGTAGGCTTTGGGATGTGTCTTCATCAGCCTCCAACCCCTCCTTCCCGATCCCCCCCCCAACAAGGAGCAGACTGACCCTGAGGCACTGGGGTTAGGTTTAAACCAGACCAGTGGTTAGAGGGAGCTGCTCAGCTCTGCAGGGATGCGGCAGAAGGAGTAAGCCCTTTAGCTGCAGTGTGATTCTTTTCACAATGAAAGGTAAGAAATTCCCAGGGTAATGCTTCAGAGCAGAAGTTTTCAGAGGTCCGTGTGGATACAAAGGAGAAACTCTTTATTTAAAAATGGATCCAGTAAATTTGGTTTTGGGGTTGTGAAATATACAAACCTCAAGAAATGAACACAGGCATCACTGCCCTCACAGAGCCCTCCTGCCATGCCTCTCCCGGTAGCTCCCTCCTCTTCACAGCCTTTCCCCCTCACCACTACTTCTGCCATGACAAGAGAACCCTCAACACACAGTGTTCTGTCATGCTCCATCTGGTTGAAAAGGGGCCACCAAGTCCTGGTCACAGGGAAAAGAAATCTCCTTAGGTTTATACCCCTACCACAGTGGGGCTGCAGACCTCAGGGCTCAGCTCCTCACCAGCTTATGTTAAAACCCACAGGACTGAGAGGTCCCAAATGATGTGCTCCTCTTTCACCAAGGGCAGGTTGAGGAGCCAAGATGTTTGGGGCAATTTTGCCAGCAGAAGCATGGTGTAAGAGGAGGCAGGTGGAGTTTAACATGATGCTCTCCTCTCAGGTGATGGGCTGATGGGGGCTGGTTGTGCACTCTGCTCTTCCCCAGCATCACAGATAGTACTGCTGGTGAGTGGTCCCTCCTGGGCTGCTTCCACCAGCACACACTCACCTGCTTGGCTGCAGAATGCAGCTGCATGGGGGGCTCTTGCCAGACAACACAAGGGAGGCAGGGGGAGTGTAGTTCATGCTGGCTACAAAAAAAATATCCCTGTTTTTACATCTCCCAGACAGAGTCAGCTATCCCCACGGAGTGCTTGAAATGCTGGAATTCGCCAGCTGTTTTCTTTGGACACTGGTGTGCTATATCTGGACAGAAACCGAGGCATGCTGTTGGACTGAGCACATCCACTGGCCTGCTGTGCCAAGAAAACTTTGCCCAGTATAAAACCTCTGCCTGCTTCATAAACAGAAAGGCTGTTTGCCCTGACCTGTGGCCCTCTGGAGAAGAGAAGGAAGTTAGCTGGCCTAGGGGCAGGGGCAGAGCTACAGGAGGCTAATTTCCCAGGCTCTAACCTGATGGCTTCACCTCTGTCCCTCCCCTCCGAGGTCTCTGGCAAGACCTTACCAGTTTTGAACACAGGAATAAAACACACAGCATAAAATCCCAGCACCTGAGGCAAGAGATACCACTCACCCAAGGAGCTGTCTGTCAGGCCAGAGAGAAAACACTCAGAATAACAGAGCACCCATGAAGTACTTAGCACACGATGGCTGCACACAGGACCCAGGGCTGCTGTGTGTCACAGAGCCTCAGCTGCAGAGCAGATCCTGGGAGCATCTGACAGCCTTGAACCCTTCCGGGATGTCGCTGTCCAGTTTGGAAATGATTTTGTAAATGGGTTTCTTCCAGGAGGGGTCGGCATCCTTGCCCGCCTTGACAGCACTGAAGAACTCCTGCAGCGTCAGGCTGGCCACCTCCAGGAACCGCCCTGGCACCTGCAGTGAGACGGGCATCACCCACGGCACCGCCGGGTCCCTCTTGGCCAGCAAGCCCCACCGCCCTGCCACCCCTTACCCCAGCTCCCATCCTCACCTCAAAGTCATTCCCCTTGTTATAGTGCATGTTGAGGGTGCGGAAAAGCTCCGAGCCCCGGGAGACCTGGAGGGTGCCAGCATCCACAACCCCTTCCAGCAGCGCCTGCCGGGCAGACTTCTCCACCTGGATGTAGTAAAACTCACGGAAGTTGCTGAACCACTTGATGAGCTGAGAGGTGATGCAGCGGCTGAACTGCCGGGGGAAGAGCCAGAGGACAGGTATTAACCCAGCTTGGAGCCTCCTCACCCATGAGCCCTCATAAGCCCAGCCACACACCGGTGGCCTGGCCCCAAACCCAGCCCTGCCCCAGGGGAGGGTGACATGGGGGTCTCACAGTGCCACTCCCCACTGAGATCCACATCCATTTTACCTGCACATCGAGGAAGTAGGTCTTCAGCAGAGTGGAGCTGGGGTAGCGGGTGAAGAAAAACATCAGCTTGGCCTTCTTCAGGTGGCCAGGGGTCAGTGCCTCCTGCATCTGCCTTGGGGTCAAGGAAAGCCTGCATGCAGCAGCCTGACCGGCTCAGCGTCTCCCTGAGGACACACATGCCTTGTGTCCGTGATAATCTCTCCCCAGGGTCTGGCAGCAGGATGAAAGGGGTTCATCCCTGGATGGGCAGCCACTGGTTTTTCCCTTTGGCCTCCCCAGGGAAGCTGCCACTCCCGACAGCTCTTCCCAGGCTGGTGGGAGAAGATCTGTCCATGAGACTCCTGGCATAAAATTACGAGACCACCAAGATGGCCAAGAGCAGGCTTGGGAGTGCCTGACTCAGCTGTTACAGCATCCAACCAGCCCTGAGGAGCAGCAATGCCCCTTCATGGCTCAGGACCCCTTTCCTGCCCACCCCATTTTAGCCCCCTGTGGAGCAGCGGAGACACTGGCCCTGGGGCGTCCAGGCAGGGTTGTGCTGAGCTCTGGGTCTGGAGGACAAGGGAAGCATGCCCAAGCCCAGGGACCTCTCCAGCTGCCCCCAAAGGATATATGTGTGGAGGTGAAGGGTGCCCTGTCCACCGCAGCCTGCAGCTCTCCACAGCCATCCCTGCCAGCCGGCAGCAGTGCCAGGCCCTCCATGCCAGCAGGGCTCAGGGGCTGCTGCTGTCTCAGGACCGATGACCTCAGTTTGACTGTTCCCCAGTGCAGGTTGAGGGGCTCCAGAGGACCCCTCTCCAGAGAAGAGGGGCTCCCGTGAGAGCTGCTTCTCCAGAGGCCATGCTGGCCATAGCCCAGCAGCTGGCTCAGCACCTGGCTGTCCTGGATGGGGGCAGCCAAGCCCAGTGGATAGCTCATGCTGGGAGCCCGAGGGTTTTTTCTCACCCCTTTTGAACTGAAGGAGCCAGCATGAGAGCCCAGGCTCTTCACTGGAGCTCCTGATGGGGCCTCAGCCTCGGGTGAACCCAACGCACCCGATGTGTTTCTGGGAGATGGTTTAGCAAGTGGCTTTCTGCATCTCGCAGCAGCAAAATGCTCTCTCCTGGCATCTGGCCCTGGCACTGGGAATCTGCGGTGCTGCTGCAGGAAGTGGCTGACTGCCTTTGGCCAGGCAGTCTGCAGAACAGAGTCCACCACCCGGGACATCACCTCAGCCAGTTCATGCTTCAGTGCTTGTGACAGAGCCCTTGCTGCAGAGGGCAGGCCACCTGTGGCATCTCTGTCCTCATCCTTCTCTGGCCCCTGCGCCTCCAGGATGCTCCTCCAAAGAGGCGCTTTGCATGGGTCACTGGTGGTGGTGGCACTGTCCTTGTCCAGTCTGTCTCCAGGATTTCCAGGCAATGGATGCACTTTCTTGGAACCTTCCTGGGTTTGGGCAGTGTCCGCAGAGTCACAGACCTGGGAGAATTTCTCCTGAAGCCTTCTCAGCTGCTGCTCCAAGAGGCAGAGCTGCTCCTTCAGCTGCTGGCAGCCCTCAGCATGGGGGCTGCCCCCCGAGGGGGCCACTCGCTTGGCTGCCCCTGCACCCTGCTGGGGCACCCTTGGCTTCCTCTTGCTCTCCCAGGGCACCTCACGACCCCTCTCCCTCTCCTGCCGAAAAGCTGCCTCCAGGCTAGTGCCAAATGCCTGAGGGGTTGGGGGGAGGCTCATGCCTTGGATGATGCTCTCCACCCTGGCCCGCTTGGCTTGTAGGTGCTGTTCAGAGATCTGGTCCCATAGGTGCTGGTCAGAGAGCTGGTCCCTGTCGCCAGCACAGGGCATGGGAGCTGGGGCACAGGTCCTGGGGAAAGCCAGGGCTTGTGCTCCTTCTCCAGGAGATGCACCACACTCGTATTCCGGAGGCAGGGTCACTGCCTGAGAGGAGGGGAAAAGGATGGTGGGATCCAGGCTCCTTCCAACTATGGGGTGGCTGAGAAGCTGCGATATCAGGGGTGTGCTGGGGGAAGGCAAGAGAGAGTCACTCTGGAAGCAGGGCTCCAACTTAAGGCGCTGGCTGTGCCCTGAAGTGGCACAGTCTCTCTTCTGCTCAGGGCCAGTCCTGCCATCCATCGTCTCTTCTTCCTGCCAGGACATCAGAGAGCTGATCCTCGGCTAGTTGAGGATCATTTCCAGTGACAGACAGGCAGTTTCCCCAGGTGTCTGATGTTTCAGCCTGCTAGCAGCATGGAGCTGGAGAAAGAGCAAGAAACATCAGTGGGCAGGACCTTACACCACAGCTGTTTATGCACATGGCCAGAGATTTTCCCCCCAAATTTCCAGGGCATCCCTGCTCCCCTGCAAAGCTTATTTTACCAGTGAACAACCCAGGCACTGCAAAACCCACGAGCAGGCTGTTGGGTGACACATGACAGCAGCAACAGCTTGGACACTGTCATAGCTCCCACCTCCCTATCAGCCAGGCAATCCTGGTGCCTGGAGTACAATTTACATGGTTTGTGCCCTGGATGTACCCAGCAGTGCAGGCTGCCCACGCTGCCAGCTGCATTCGCACTGCGGGAGCTCCCCTGTGGGCTGTGGACTCAGGTACGAGGGTGGCGAGTGCCCAATGGAGCCCTCTGCCACGCACACCGGGACAAAGGTGGCTTTGGGTGCTCCTTGTGCTGGGCAGCAATAACACCCCTGGTGAGGCATTCATGGCACACAGCAGATGGGCCAGGGCATGGCTGCTGCCTGCTTCTGCTGCCACCAGGGCCCCAAGGGCACGGTGATGGGCTATGGGTCCAGGGCAGCACAAGCAGGCTAGTGGAAAGGGGCACAGCGAGGATAAAAATGGGATGTGATCTGCTGCAAGCAGGACACACCGGGATGTTCAGGCTAATACAGCACACGGCTCCTAGGCACTGGGCAAAACAGATACAAATAAAATAACAATAAACCTGAATAAAAGGGATGGGGATTACCAAAGCAGAGAAAAAACTACCGAGCCAGCATCCCTGGGCTTACAATTGTCATGCTGACCCCAGGCAGGGATCCACCCCCTCCACTCGTTGGGTCACTCAAACAGCTTTGCACAAGAAGGCACAAAAGCTCATATCCTGAGCAATTCCAGAATAACCGTCCCTGTGGAATGCTTCTTACTCATTCACATTAATTAGCAGGAGCTTTGCATCCCTGAAGTAGGACAGTTTGTGTCTTTCCCAGACACCTTTAAAGTGTCTGAGATTCTTTTGCTATACCCAGAAAAACCTGAACATTTTCAACACCATCAGTCTCCTGTCCCCGTGATTTTCTGCTCCATGGCAGGTCCCTGAGGGAAATGAGCAGTGTAGGAAATGAGTTTCTTCTCACTGTTTTTTAGCAAGTCGCTGTTCTTTGAACAGCCCCGTATTCCAGGCAGGCATCTGGGAGAGCTTCACCTTTTGCAGAGCTCTAGTCTTGACAAACCAAGTGTTTCCTGGGTTGTCCTACACCACTTGTTGCTCTCCCATGCTGTCTCCCCGCTCCCAACCATTAGGGTTTTATTTTCCTAACAGTCCACCATAGTTTACCCCTGGCCAGGGTTAGGTTGGTGTGCCAGGAGCTCTCAGCATCACCCCTGCTCTTGTGTAACAAGCTTCACCATTGCCTGTGGCTGCCCCTTTGCCTGCCAGCCACTTCCAACAAAGATACATGGCAAACACAATGCAGTCATAGATTTCATCCACCCTTAAGCCTTTCAGCATGGCATGGGCATGAGACAGACAGTCCTGCCCCCTCACTCGGTCTGTTACAGAAACGCCTTTTTTTGCCGCTTGCTCACAATTTCTCACCTCCTCTGTGTTCAGCAGCAAGGTCAGGGATCTTACCTGTCCCCTGCACTGAGACTTCCCAGCCTCAGAAACTCAAGGCCATACATCCCTCCTAAGATCTGCTCAGAGCTGGTGAGAAGCCCTCCGCTTGTATAAGGCTTCCAGCACCAACATGTTTTTGCCAGACATTTGTAGGGAAGGAGCAGAGCCTACGGTGTCACGCCATGGCCTTGGCTCTCTTCCCACCTACAGCTTCCCCAGCACTGGAGAACCAGGAGGTGCTGCCCCAGTCAAACTGTTCCCGCTGATGCAGCCCCTTCCCTGCTGAGTTAGCAGATGCATGCTTTGGTTCCTACTCTTACTGCCAGCCTGCATCAGTATCACCTTCCAAAACACCAAAAATCAGCTGAGACTCCTCTTACCTGATGAAAAAGACTGAGGGACAAAATGAAGATGCTCAGAAGAGAAGGGATGCATGTCCTTTCCAAAAATGGGAGTCATCCCCCACAGGTTCCCTAGGTGCTCCTTGGTAGGAGAGCCATGCATGGAGAAGCCTGCCAGTTCCCCAGCACTGCAATCCCCCCATGAGCTGTCCCCAGCCACTGCATCCCTCTGTCTTCAGCACGTGGTCCCCATCCTGAGCCACTTGCACCCCTCTGCCCCACTCACCTCAGCTCCAGGGCTGCAAGGAGCACAGTGCCCCAAGAACAGGCATCCGGGGCTGTGGGATGCACAGAGGCAGTGTCTGTGTGTCCTCCCACTGTGCTCAGCTCCTTTAAAGAGGGAGTGAGAAGGCCAGAGGCAGCCAACCGGCTGGGAACGGCTTCTGAATATGCAGATGGACCTCCAGGAGGTCGGGTCCAGCCCCTGCACCCAGCCATCTCCCAGGCTCATAGACCCCGGGGCTCAGACAGGCAAGGGCCGACGCCGAGCTGCTGGCTGCACAGGTGGGCAGAAGCCCAGGTGAGCAATTCCCTCCTACAATTTTGCCTGGAAATCCCATCCAGGACCCAGGATAGTGAATCAGTGGTGAGATGATGCAAATACACCTGTGCTAGAGGCAAGGAAGGAGCCAGCCCAAAGCTCCAGGTGCTGCTCAGCTCCCACAGAAAGCACCCAAGCACTTCCAGCATTCCCCGCCATGGGGACATGGAGGCGTTTTGGCTGGCCTGGAGGTCTGTGGTGCAGGACATGGCCGGGAAATGGAACCACACAGGAAAAGCAGCAACACTGAGTCCCTCGCTTATCGCAGGGTGCTTTAGAGACACTGCTGCAGCCAGCAGAGCCAGCACTGCTCTCAGATGAGCATGCCCTTGTTATAAGAATTTCGTCTTGGCCATGATCTGATATAATTATTTTTGTATTACAATTGATTAATATCGAGAGGCAATAAGCAAGCAGTGCTGGGTGCGCCAGGGAGTCTCTGCTCCACCCAAGACGCACACCGAGAGTTCTGGGGTACAGTCTCTTATACTCCTCGCTCTTGGGTTTTAACCAATCCTGTCGTCTCCTTCACCCGAATAGCGACGTGGTTCCTTTTCATTGTTCTCCTCCTGTTGCTGGGGTCTTATCTTTGGGTGAAGAAACTTCTTTAAAAGTTATTGAATTCCTTGGCAATACATTAACAGGGGATGTCAGTCACAAGCTTAATCACCATCTTAGCCCCCTAAATTCCATTTCTTATATAGTTACTTATTCAATACACAAGTTTCACCTCATCCTGTAACAGAATGTATCCCTTGATTACCTAACCCCCTTAAGGCATTCAAGCAGTTAAACAAAGCACCCTCTGTAATTAGCAAAGCATTTGAGACATTCAAGTAGTTAAACAAAGTACCCCTTAAAGTAACAAAGACTTTGATTAGGAAGGATTATTCCTTTGTTCCTTCTTTTCTTTCATCATTGTATTGACAGGAACATCTATCTTAATCTGATCATTCGTATACATTCTACACATGATTTTCGATTCCACCCGAAGTACAATGATGACAAGGACTCCTAAGTTTCTGACACATATACCATATACCTCACACCCTGACCCCAGCCCATGACAAACCTACCTGCCCCAGGGGCACACGTGCTCATGAGATGCTTCATGCAGGAGCTGTTGGGTGGCTGTGTTGTCCCAAAAACAGGATCTGTAGCCTGGTGTGCAATAGCCAATTCCCATGGACAGAGCCAATGTATTTGTTCATTTCAAGTTTGTGCAAAAAGGGGTGCTGGGGGGCATCCCACAGAGCTAGCACACCATCCCATGCAGAATTCATGTAGTTACACAGTTCAGTTCAGGTGGGTGACTCCCACCATGTACCAATTGGTCACTTAATTTACATCATTGTGAGGTTACATCATTGACTTCTCACCATGCATGCTCAGGTAAGGGTCTTCAACCTGGGCAGGGGTCTTTTGACTTCCTGTAGTGATTTTTAATATTATAATGAGGATAGTTCATATAAAGGACAGACTCATCATGTCTTGCTGACACACCAGGGTCGTATCTTGCGGATGTCAATGGGTTTTCAGGATGCACCAGTCTTCAAGGTTAGCCTTTTCCAGTGAGAGATTCCTTAGCCCCTGAAGGACACCCTAGTCATATCTTGCTGACACACTGAAGTCGTAACTTGACAATGTCGATGGATTTTCAGGATATGCCGTCCTCAAATACAGTCTTTTCTCATAAGGGATTCCTTAGCACGCAAGGCCTCCTCCCCAGCTATTATTTCTCTTCATTAGTCAGTGCTGTTCCCAGGTCATCCTGACCTTTTAGGAGGCGCTTGTATCTGTCCAGCCTTTTCCATAGCAACAGAAGTTTCCACTTTTAATTATGTGCCTACCTAAGTTCCTGTTTTTCTTAACTATATGCCTACACCACCACTTGGCCATCTCCCAGGCTCATAGCCCCTGGGCTCAGACAGGCAGGGGCTGATGCCCAGCCCCTGACACACAGGTGGGCAGAGGGCCAGGCAGACAATTCTTCCCTACAGTTTGGTCTGGAAATCCCATCCAGGACCCAGGATAGTGAATCAGTGGTGAGATGATGCAAATACACCTGTGCGAGAGGCAAGGAAGGAGCCAGCCCAAAGCTGGGTGCTGCCCAGCTCCCACAGAAAGCACCCATGCACTTCCAGCATTCCCCGCCATGGGGACATGGAGGTGTTTTGGCTGGCCTGGAGGTCTGTGGTGCAGGACATGGCCGGGAAATGGAACCACACAGGAAAAGCAGCAACACTGAGTCCCTCGCTTATCGCAGGGTGCTTTAGAGACACTGCTGCAGGAGCTATGGGGCAGGTGGGCAAGGCCTAGCCATGTGTGCTACTCCTAGGGCTTCATCTGCTTGGCTCCACCTGCTTACTGAACATGACAATGTTTGCCATATTC